TTAAAGTCTTTAGGTTACTGACAGGTGGAGCCTATTTAAACCCCTGACATCAGTCGGTTTGCTGCTGAAATCTTTAGTGTCATTATGCCAGGCGCTAAAGACCTCTCTTTCAGAAAAAAATGTCTTCCAAGGAGTTTATAGTTTCATTTCAACTGTTGTTAAGTGATTCTATTATAGGATAAATAAAATATAAGTGCCATAGGTTTTAAACGACTGAGATTTCTTCAGGACGCAGCAAATTTAACTCAAGGACAGATGGTTTAATACAAAGTCCCAAAGAAACAACTGCAACTGCTGAGCTCAAAGTGTAGGCGTGTACGTTCAGAATGAAACGTGTTCAAACCAAATATTCTGGATTTCCATTAACATTATTATTGAGCATATAAGTGAAATAATGTAAAGACATGGGACGTAAAGACAGGGCTGCTTGGCCATAGCATAGCAGGCATCTTTGAAACAGATCAAAACAGCTGTTTGGGTGGAAACCCCCAAACCAGTTGTGACGGATGCTTTGGGGTTGCTCCACTCTCAATATCACTGATTCAACTATGAACCATCATTTCTAATACTGTAGGTCAAGCTGAAGCTGTCTGTCCCAAATAATAATTTCTAATATCAAAAATATGAAAACTTGATATTTTTGGTGAATATGTGATTTTAGAGGTAAATTTTCTTTTGTCTGCATTCAAAACCTCTATCTGGGTTAGGGTTAGGGGTTAAACCTGTTTCACTGAGGTTTAAATGTTTGCATGTTGTCACAGTTAGGACAACTGTCCCCATCAAGCTTCATTCAAACTGCAAACTTCATATCAGACTTGTGAAGGTCAGCGCAGTTATGATCTTGACCCTGAGAAGAAGAGGTGACCATCAGATCTGGATCTTAATGTCATGACCAAATTAATTCTTTGCTGCTCTCATGAGTTCAGGGCAGCAGGTCAATGACTTCACATTTAGGTGCTGGCTTTTAGTCATAATCCCGTCAGGCATACACTCAAATATTAATTAGTAACACTAACAATGGACGCTCCTCTGTTAAACCCAAATCAATACTCACTTATCTGCACTGATTATTATGTCCATGTACTGCAGCTGTTATCTCTAAAGTAAATGATGCATAAATCAGAGCCTGGTAACACTGACTGCACAGATAAAACATGCACAACTTCTAACCAGGTGTACATGTTATGTAACTATGCCAACTTCTTATTTTGATGCACACTGTAGTTCTTATGCACACGTGAAATAAAACAATAATAATATGTGCTGTTCTTCATGGAAGGTCAACAGCAGCTACATTAGCCTCTGCAGCTGCGCTCAGGTCATACGTGTCTCTACATACACCTGTGAGGAAAAGGTGTTCATCACCTCATCACCTGTGTATGAGTCCTTCACTGGACCACTTTGGTAAAGTTTTGTTTTGGTGGTGATCTCACCCAATCCTGTCACTCTGCATTGCTGCTTCCATCATATCAACATCAACAACTAGCTGTTCAAATGCTGCGTAATACTGCACATCACACCTTTTGACAGGTGCCATTGCAAAGAAGTAATATTTTTCACTTCACTTGTATTCATGTGCTGTAATTTGAAAGAAACATGGAAGCCAGTTTTCACTCGTTTAACAGCTGAGTGAGACGTTTGTGTTAAGCTCAGGAGACTCAACACATCCGCGACATCTTCACTGTCAGATTTTCATACACTCTTTTTCATTGGTTAAAATATTAATTTAAAATAAAAGAACATAATCAAAAAAAATCTTTTATTAAGTAGTTGATGAGTTTTTCACTTAGCTTGAGTTCATGTGAGCTTCGTCTGTATTATTCGTTTATTAGAGGTTCGACTGCGATACATAATTTACTGTGATTAAAATTCAAGCCTTTAAAGCACTTTAAAGAATAAACATCAGTCTCAGGTCCTGTCTGTCCTGTCAGAAATTACATTCATGAAGTTCAGTTTTCTTTCTTTCTTCTTATCCAGGACGCGACGGTTTCTGTTGGTGGACGAGCGACGATGAGGTTTGCAGCGTTTCCCTCACAAACACACACCAGCGCGCTCTCAGCCTCCTCCAGTTTATAATACAGGTTCAACCAAATATGACAAATGCTCAATTTTATCACCACCCTAAGGTCAAAATCAATTTGATTAACAACCTAGAGAACCAAATCCCTCACAGGTCCTATTGCCTAAATGTCCCTGATTTAACTAAAGCCTCGGCACTGTGTGCCTGCTTGCTTGCATCCTTGTCTGCCTCATTTGCAGGATTTGAGCTAAGCCTTTTAGCCCTGCTATAAAGTGATATGAGAGGCAGTTGGTGGCTTGCTAACTCACTTGAGTTGTTAAACCTCTTTTTGTCCAGTCGGTCAAAAGGAACAGGGGCCTTTTAGGTCTACTGTTGAAAATCACATGTTCTTTGCTTGTACTAAAAGTAGTTCATACAAAAGTACGCCCCCTGCGAGTTTCTTCTCTGCAGTCTGCTTTTGATACATTTAAAACAGTAAAAAAATAGATGCATGCTTGTGTATTTTCTCCATTTCTAATTTTGGCCCACTCTTCACAGCTTGGTCTCTGTTTCTCTTCACCTCTGCCATGTGGTTGTTATTGAAGAAATTGCATTGTCGAAGAAGAAAGATGCACAAGCAAAAATAGCAGAAACTATTCACCTGGTATTTCATTGCACATCGCTGAAGTGGGATTATGGATTCTGATTGAGGCCGGATTATTGTCAGATAAACAAAACAATCAAAAAGCCACAGCGGTCAAAGGGTGCATATACTGAGTGACACAGGGAGGGCACCCTTGTTGCAGTCATAGCACAATCTGACAAATGTACAAGCACACGGAAAAGCACAAGACAAGAGGAGGCAGAAACACAAGGGCTAACGCTCACTTAATTTAAGATGAGAGTAAAGATGATGTGAGTGCATCTTGGTGGAGAACAAAGAAGGAAACACTCAAGAGCACAACTCTCAGCCCTGAGGCTCCGAGACAGGAAGCCAAGGAGTCAAGGAAAGTACTGTCTGTGGTAACTGGTGCTCATCTTATTACGTTAGATGAGTGTAAACTGCTGTACAGCGGACAGTTGATACTTTTCGATAGATTCCAATGGAAGTAAGTGGAGTAGATCTATCTATATTATACTCTGAAAAAAGTCAACTCTGTCATAAAACCTGCTTGCATACATTTAGAGATGGTCAAAGAGATAAAGACAAATCTTTCCCTTTAGTGCACATCTGTGACTGTGACTGTGTTTATGACGTAAACTGTGAGCAGAGACTGGAACGTCAGGCAGGTTTACATTAGTCAGCAGATGCAGTGGGCCACATCATTAGTCACTCTGACACACACTTCTGGCCCCTGTTTTATTGATGAGGCCGAGCTCAATAACTACCCCAGTCTAAACACACAGACACACACAACTTCTAAGTTGTTTTCACATTTGAACTCCGAAACTGCGTCAGTGTGAAGTTGCCTCTTCACACATGTAGCACACAACAGGTTTCGTTTTGACGTGTTGGGTAGGAAGCCAGAGACTTGATGCCCACTTGCTCGCGGTGAAGTTTTCATACGGTTACCTGCACACGGGCTCAACTGGACATTGCACGTACAGCGTATTAGGGGGCTTGGACACTAGCTTTTGGGGCTGCAGTGTGTGTGGGAGTGTGTGGGAGTGGCTGTACAGGAGAACACGTTGGCATTAAGTGGAAAGCGACGGGCACTCACTGCATGAGGGCTGTGACAGCAAACAACGTCCTACAGTTTGTCAGGAAATAAAATTTATAATCATAAAGTGTAATTCTATTTTCTAGAATGCAGTCTGTCTGTAGACCAAAGATCCGATTCAGAATCAAAGACCTGCTCAACAGCAGATCTTCTGGGCCGATTGTGAATGGCACAACGACAGGGTGCCAAGTGTGTTATAGCAATGAGCTCAGAGCCATTTATGGCCTCCATGACTCTGACATTTAGCAGGATGCTGCAATTTGTCAGCCTCTCAGTCTGACTCACACATCCACAACAGGGGACACTCATAAAACACATTACCATTAGGCCTAATAGTGCTGCATCACATAGCTCTGTGTGTGCTCTGTGAAATTAACGATATATGTGTAGTTCCTCTAACTGCCATTAAAACGACTGCTGGAAATACACGGTGACAAAAACCAACAAATGCATCCTAGTGCTCCGCATGTTCACCTTGATCAATCCAAACTAATTCATGATTGAGTGCATACAGTAACAACAACTCTGCACTGCAGGTTAATTAGCCGTTCAGCCAACACTGGAAACGTGCATGACTTTTAAAATTACTTGTTAATACCAACAATTATCTCTGCTGTTACCTAAACACCAGTGTGACTCTTAGAACGAGAAAGCATTTGTTTTACGTCAGAGTCTTTGAAGCACTTCGAGACCTACATCTAGTAACAAAGAGCGGAGAAGGAAGGCTCCCATTGTTTCATTTAATTCTGAAAGTGCATTGGTGCTAACCACAGGGCAAGTTGGAGAGGTCGCTATATTTCCCATCTAATACTTTGTCTCACTAAGATGCTTTCAACTGTCCCCATCTCTCTGCATTTCTTGCTCTCTCTCTCCCTCTTATCAGTGACGTATAAAAGGCAAGCACTGGCACAGCCATAATGGAGAGGGAACATCTTGATGGCTGCTCTTTCCCCAGAAGAATACCATCAGTAAAAATACAGTGGAGTCTACTGCAAAGTGTCCTTTCTCTGTTGTTTCTTATCATCGTGCATAAAGTTTGCAAAGGATATCTTGGAAAGCGTGACTCAGAGTTTGAAAGCAGTTATAGATTTCTGGGCCACAAAGTCAAGCAGACATTTCAAGTCAAATGATAATCAAACATTTACTGAACAGGTGCAAAGAGACACGAAGACAAACTTGCAAATTCACAGGTACTTGCATTTACGAGTGTGCCCTCACACACACACACACACACACACACACACACAACCAGATAAAAGAGGTGTCTGTTCTGCTCTTACCCGAGCGTTGTCATAGTAACGATGGTGTACCAGAAGGAGGCTGGGATGCTGGTGAATTTGCTGGAGCTTGAACCCTTCTCTGCGTAGAACATGACGGTAGCAAAGATAATTATGGCCATAGTGAGGGAGAAGAGGAGGAAGCCCAGCTCCGAGGCACAGCTCTTCAGTGTGTAGCCCAGGATGCGAAGGCCCTGCGAGTGACGGGAGAACTTGAAGATACGGAACACGCGGAAAACACGGAGCGTCACGAAAGCGCCGCTCACGTCCTCGTTGTCAGTCATCACCAGGCCAATGTAGTACGGTAAGATGGCCACCACATCGATGATGCTCATGACGGATCTCATGAAGCGGTAGCGGCTGGGTGCAGCAAACAAGCGCATCAGGTACTCCACGGTGAAGATCATCACGCAGGCCGTGTCCATGCAGAAAAAGGCCACGGTGTAGCGCTCACCACATGGCACTTCCTTCTGGTTGGGCGCTGAGCCACAGGGCACCGTCTCTACCACGTTGGTAATGACTGAGACAGCAATGAAGAAACCAGTGACATAATAGAAGACAAGGGCCATGGTTGAAGTGTGAGGGTTTTCAAAAGCCCGCCACATAGTCTCCCTGAAGGTCATATTGGGCAGCTTGGCATCCTTGTTGTCCTCCTGGTCATCCATCAAACGCTCTGCATTCTCCCTCTTCCTGTCCTTGTACTCTTCGTAGCAGCAGTCACCGATGATCTCTGGGACGATGCCAAAGAAAGCCAGCTCCTCGTCATAGGAAGATATGCACTCGTACCGTGGATAATGGAGCTTGCCTGTGCGGTAGAAGTTGAGCACGCTACGGAACACGTCGGGGTCCCGGTCGAAGAAGTATTCTTTGGTCTCCTCGTTGTAGAAGAACTCCTTCTCTGAGCTGCCCAGCAGTGTGTCGGGATAGCGGTCCAGAGTGTTCCTCCAGGTCTGGAAACGGCGTCCGCTCACATTAAGAATGATGAGCTCATCCTGCCTCTTGTTCTTTTCAGCAGGTGCGACTGGCATGGGCAAATTGGCCACAGGCATCCAGCCTATGGCTGCTGCCCGGGCAAAGGGAAGCCATGCCGCTACTCCCGCCGCCATGCTGTGTCCGGCTTGGGGCGTAGGGGGGAAGAAGTCGAGCACCTTCACAACCAGCTTGACTTCAGCTCATTTACCAGCTAAAGAGAAGAAAAGGAGGGAGTGTATGAGGATAGGTAGCACATGGTGCTGTTTTAATCCTCACAGGCAAGGAGAGCGAGATCAGTAGATCAGAAAACAGAAAAAAGAAACATGAGACACTTGAATCTGAAGAATGTAGGGAAAAGGACAAATGGTGAGCTAGTGAAATAAAAAGATGTGAACATAACAAAACAACGTATACAAAATAAACAGCATAAGTAATTGTAACAAGGCAGGTAAGCAGAGGAAGCAAATGATATCTTGATAAAATTAAATTAAACATCGCAGATTTGTACAGAATGTATTTCTATTTCATATACTGAGCTTTAATGTGATTACCGACTTGCAATAAGCTTTCTCAAGGCTGAATTCCTCACCCTCTGTAGAGGTACAGCTTAAGCAGCAGCCTTCTGTTGACAGTTTACTGCATCTTACAGGTTACAAACTAAAAACAGGCAAAAAATAACTGCATCGCAAAAAAACTGCTCCATTTTTAACCGTGGGTTTGGTCGCCTTAAAAGTGATCCAGGATAGTCGAGACCTGTTGAGTTTCAAGTAGAAAAAAAACAGTAGATGCATCTTTATTTTACTCAAGATGAGTCAAACTACTTTATGATCGCTCAGATCCACCACCGTATCAATAGCGCTGATGAACCAATCAGTCTCCATGGCTAACCGGAGACGCGACATGTTAAAGCGGAATCATTTCCCGAACTAAAGAAAGAGAGAGAGAGAGAAAGCAAACATCGCAGGCTTGTATCCGCAGCTTCACGCTGACTGTAGCGTTGATTAATGTAGAACTCACCGACTCAAAATTCTCCATCCACACAAACACGACCTTCTTCCAGGGCAGTTTAATGGCAAGTCGCAGGTTTTGGTTATTTCTCAGAGCGTGTCTGGAAATAAATAAATAAATAAGAAGAAGAAAAGAAAAATACCAGGAAAGAAGTTATTTAGCGAGGAGGAGAACCACAGGAGACACACACTACAGCTGATGGGGAAGCGGAAAAGTACCGGTGACGGACGTACCACAGCTGCTTTCATTCAGTTTCCATTATGCGAGGGGAGAAATGATGAGAGGACTCCGCCGTGAGGACTGTATTACCTTGGCTTTCGGGATGAGTATTGGGAAGAGGAACGAGGAGGAGGAGGAGCGCTCTTTCTCTCGCTCTCGCTCTCTCTCTTTCTGCGCAGGGCGGATTGTGAACCAAAACTGCATTTAAGGGAAGCTGGATCGGGATTTAGAACCATGCGCAGAAAATAAATATATAAACGTCAGACCGCTTTCTTCTCCTTACACGAACGCTGTTCTTATTGTACAGTATGCGTGTGCTCTGCTGAACCAATGTTATTCCCGCACACAGCACTGAAGTGCTATCAGCTGATCCACGGGATTCATCCCAGCAGAGAATATAAGAATCCACAGGAGGCCAGAAAAGAGCGCAATGGATCAACTTTGTCTTTAATTAAAGCACCAGCGGACTATTGCTATTTTTGCACAAACACCCGGAAACATCGACACGATGTCACCGTTTCAGTGGAAAAACAGCTGGTAAATAGTTGCCTTACTACGTCACATATAGTACTGTGCAAAAGTCTTGAGTCACCCTTCATTTCTTCACATTTTGTGAGAAAAACGAGTTTGATCGTGTTTATTCTTCAACACTGTTCCTCGTGTTTGAAGGACATTCAGAGCTCCTTTTGGATGTTGGCTGCCTTTGGTTTTGTTCTCTGTCAAGGTGATCCGTCCTGCTTCAGTAATGTTGAACTCACAGGTTCTGGTGAGGCCAAACCATGAATGATAGTTTTTCGTGTCAGAGGTTTTCATCCACGTATGCTTTTGCTGCATTGTCATGCTGAAAATGGAGCAACTGCCAATCAGATGCTTTGCAGTTGGCATCGTATGGTGGATCAAAGTGTGATGGGGCTTCCAGTGTTCATAATCCATCAGTTCTGACAAGAACATCGCTGGATGAAAAGGAGCCCTACAATGTGACAGACCCTCCGCTGTGTTTGACAGATGACTTTAGCCACTCACTGTTGTACCTCTCTCCTGACCTCTTCTGTACATATTGAATTTTAAAATTTGAACCCATCACTCTGTAAGACCTGTTGCCACTGATTTTCAGTCAAGTTATTGTGTAATTGTGTGTACCTCAGCTTCTTTCCCCTTCCTAAAGAATGGTTTTGTGACAGCTACCCTTGCACTGAGACCATTTCTGATTCAGCGAACAGTCGATGGATCAACTGAAGGTCTAGATGCATCTCTCATGTCCTGTGTCAGCTCTTTGCTGGATTTTCTTTCCTATTTCTTAAAGACTTGACTTTCAGATACTGTCTACAATCTGCTGTAGATAATTAAAAACAAACAAGTATTTATTTTGATCTCTAATTGTCCAGTTTATTTATTTTTTATATAAATCAGCAAAACCGTTTGTTGGTGCAGAAAAACTATTTTATGTGTATTAAACTTTGCTGTATTTTGAGTTTTTCATAGATTGACCTTAAGAAATGGAGAAAAATCAGAGTTTCTAGTAAACTTCTGTTTACAAAGACCTTAAAGACACAATTCAAAATTTGTTTATGTGTAGACACAACACTGGTTAAAAGCATGGTGCCTTTTTGTCCCAGGATGATTCATAGTCAAGTGTTAAGAGGCTTAACAAACAAGAAAACTATTGTTCTGGAAGTGTTCAGGTACAAGGACTGGACTGAAAACGAGTCACAAAACAGCCAACATGTTAAAACTTTGCAAGACCTCCAAACCAATAAGAAAAATAAAAAGAAATTCAATTCAATTTTATTTATATAGCGTCAAATCACAACAGCAGTCACCTCAAGGCGCTTTATGTTGTACAGTAGATCCTACAATAATGGACACAGAGAGAAACCCAGCAATCATATGACCCCCTATGAGCAAGCACTTTGGCGACAGTGGGAAGGAAAATCTCCCTTTTAACAGGAAGAAACCTCCAGCAGAACCAGGCTCAGGGAGGGGCGGCCATCTGCTGTGATTGGTTGGGGTGAGAGAAGGAAGACAGGATAAAGACATGCTGTGGAAGAGAGAGAGAGGTTAATAACAGATATGATTCAGTGCAGAGAGGTCTGTTAATACATAGTGAGTGAGAAAGGTGACTGGAAAGGAAACACCCAGTGCATCATGGGAATCCTAGCCTGCGTCTATTGCAGCATAACTAAGGGGCAGCTTGAGACTGTTGCACAGCATTGTATTTCTATCGTATATGAACGAATCCAGAAGTGTTAGATAACATTCCTTAACATCAGCTGTCCTATTCTTCTTTTTGAATACGATAAACCTGTAAAGTTATTGTTCTGTGGTCTCAGACCTGAGTGGACCCAAGAGGACCTCTACTCTAGACCCCAACCCCACACACATCTAGTAACATACCTGAATAAAATACCTCACAGCAATAATGCAGATATTTTGAAGTCAGCAAAGATGGCAATGTTTATAAAATTAATCATAAACCTAAAAAATAAAAGGTAAATATTTGGCTACAATTTTAAACCTACAAGCTTTGAGCTGCTGTGACGTATACCTCGGCCCTTTTCTGTTTGCATTCTTTTCTGTGGGTCTGGGTGTCCACAGACTCTGGCAATCAATCTCTACATGTAACTTTACTCATGAAAGAAAAGACAAACAAAGGGGCTCCAGTGGAAAAGCTCTCAGAGCAATCAATGCCTGCCCTGAAAACAAGTGGGTGCAGGATATACCAAAGATTATTTCTCAGGACAACTCACTGTATCCCTGCTGTTGACAGCAAACAATAGTGAGAACCAAACTGCATTCGTTAGTGGATATTCTATATTCCTTCGAGCAGATAGCAGTGACTTCTCTTCTGGGTTTGTTGTTATTCTGACTGACGTATATGAGTCAGAATCTACTTTTTAATAATTTCAGAAACCATGTCAGTAAATAGGCTGTAGCACATAAACCAATGCTAAAACTACGTTATGTTTATTTATGTTCAGAGTCATGTGTACCCACATTAGTTAATGCTTTGCTGAGCATATGCATTCCCAACTGTGTCAACAGAAATATTGTTTGGATACACAGGGCTTCGGATATTAGTGGAGGCAGGAGCTCATACACAGATTGGAAAACACTTGGTTCTTGTTACAGTCAGGGATGTACAGTATGTAAGCTAAATATGGAAAAAACACATTACATCATATTATTTACCATAAAGTCACCCTGTGAGTTTCATAGACCCATGTTCGAAAATGATAAATCACTGATGATTAATATTTAGACGTACAGCTGCACACACACAAGCACACACTTCTTTATGCCTTTCTGCCCTTGTATAGCTATCTTTAGAAGCACCTTTTGTTGGCTCAATTAAGTCCCCGGCCGTAAACGGCCCCCTTGGTGAAACAACAGAATAGCCAAAATGACCTCACCTTGTGAAAAGTATCCCCACTCCTTAAACTCAAGCTAGCTCTCAGAAGAAGACAAGTTCAAGAAAATGCACACAGACACACACAGACACACATCAGTGCTCGAACAGCTAAACACACATACTGCAGGAGGCTGGCCTTTCAACCAATGAGTCTGTGAGCGATTCCAATAATTCAAATGTCACTGAATAACAAGGTGGGTTGAATTTCATGGTCAACTGCCCTCTGTAATTATCTGAAGACACTACACGGACATTAACATTCTCAATCCTCTCTTCCCTGCAAGGCTTCAACAAACAAACTAGCTGTGTTAAAGCAAACCTTTGTGGGTTACAAGAGTAAACAGGTTTGTTTAGTAGCAGAAGAAAGGATGCTATCAGTCCAAGGTCATTCCAGTCTAGGAGAAATTATTATCCAACCAACCAACAGATCAGCCTCCCAGGTGACCTTGAAGATGAAGTTATGAAGAGTAACTATATAAAGTTGTGTTTCCCTTAAGCAGATCACTGGTAAAACATTGATTTGACATTTTGGAAAATAACATTATTTTCTTTCTTGGAGATCGATATATGGATTTAGATGGTTTAAATTATTAATAGATACTGACCTTTAAAATGAAGCTTTTTTCCATTTCCCCCCATTCTTGCTTGCTTGCTTTTAGCTTTCTCATTTATAGAAAATATATGAAAGTAATTGATTATGATATGCAGTCATCTAGGCTACACAAACAATCAACATTAATGTTTCGAGGAATAGAAGCTTTCATAGAAGCATCATTTGCACACTGGATAGCAGCATAAGTTAATAAACCATACAGACACAGGGCATATGTCATTTTATGTCTGCTATAAACCGTGTGGATTGGTATCATCACCTCCCTGTTGAAAGACTTAGTGGGTCTTTCGCACACACACAACAAACATCTCTGATCTGATGGGTTTCGATAGAAAATCTAAGGTAAAGGCGACGATTTCCTCTGCCTGGCTCACTGCTGCTACCTTGATAATACTTCTGACTCCTGACTGCTGATGGCCACCTCAAGGCTGTGATAGCAACACACACACACACACACACACACACACACACACACACACACACACGCACACACAGAGCTGCGCTGTCACACACATTCAGACAGTACTCAGCAAAACAACAACAACTGCATATTCAGATGCACAGCCTCTATTTTCCTTGTTGCACCTGTTTCACATGAGTAAATTCCAAGGTTTTTGTTGTGACATTTCCCTTGTTGCGCATTTGTTTGTTTGCTGGCTTCCTTGCGCTCACTTATTCACTATTCATAAATTCCCCACAACCTGCCTTCTTAGTTTCTCTAATCCCCATTAGGTATCTGAAATCTTCCTTGGGGGATTAAGTCTCCGACTGTGGTGGAGTTTATCCTTGGTCTGCCAAACACTGACTTGGCAACCTCTCTGTCTACTGTTCAGGAAGGCAGTCATTGGCACAAAGGAGGTTATAGATGTGCTCTTGGCTCCTGTCCAGCACACAAAGGGACTAAGGCAGCACATCCACCACTCCAAACCTGTAAAATACAACATTTTGTCTACTTATGCCCAAACCAGGGGCTCAGTTTTGCTATGGAGCATGCTCCATTTACTACTTAAATGAACTTCTGATTTGCTTCAGTGTTAAGGTTTTATAGAGCAGCAATGTTGCCTCACAACTAAAAGCTCCTGGATTGAATCTTCTGGGATCTTTCTTTTATTCCTGTTCCTTCATGGAGTCT